GTACTATTCCCGAGAAAAATCGTCGTAAATTATTGGCGTAAAGGACCAGTTGTGCGAAAGATCTTCACCTGCGTCAGACCTCCGTCGGGACCTGTGTAACTGGCGAAAACGTCAGTTTCAAAACATTCCAGTTGTATACACGGTATGTCGAGGCCCGTCTTACCGCAATATACCTCAAAACTTGTCATAAAAGTTAGTTGTTGGTACGGGGTAAACAATCAAACTCACTTCTGGGAAGTCTAACCGCCTTCCATCGATACCCGCTAGATGGCATTGGGAAAAGAATGTTTCTTGTTCGTTGGAAGGCGTTGGTGGGTCATACTGTAATAGAAATTAAAATAGCTTAGTTTCAAATTTTTAATAAGTAAAAAATCATTACCTCAACTTCGGGCGCGTCTTCAAGGCTTGGTGATGGGCTAAACTTACCCCGTAGTAAGCCGCGTACATGCCGACGTAAAAACGACGACGGCATACGACACGCTAAAACGACAATTTGTAAACTAGAAAAGTCCGCAACTACAGACGAAAACATCACACGACTTCTCCTCGAAATGGATGAGTTGGAAAGCCAAGTAATAGCAGAAACTCGTTCCTAACACGCTTATCTAACATGCTACATCAACTAGCCTCGTAACAGAAATGATGAAAACGGGTTACAAATTAGGAAACGAGGTTTTCGACGGAGAAAATGAGACAGAGGGCAGTGTCCGCTTGAGGAAAAAAACTGGGTCTGTTAGCCTTGAGAAGAAGAACAGCTTCTGGGTTTGTACAACCTTAACATAAAAAAATGGAAACTGAGGGATAAAGGAAGAAAAGCGAGTGCGATCGAAAAAAAAGTAGACGAGGCGAATGCAAAGATGAAGAAAAAGCTCTAGACACATACGTTTCAGACTGATGAAAAATGAAGCAACTTCTGCGAAATCAAAACGAGAAAACCGGGGTGAAAATTCAAAGGACGTATCAAAAATCAAGCTGCTTTAGGTGAAAATGAAAACTTTCACGGCCGGAAGATTTGCCAAGATCTATTTCAGGTGTTTGTCTCAGCGAAATTCGGACCACTTGAAGTTAGGGTGGCCATGACTGGGTAAACAAACTCTTCAAGATCACAAACAAAAGTGATACTGCTCCATGAAGTGTTCCCACCTTCCAGCTCAAAGGCAACGTCCCCTCAAATTGGTGGGTATTGGGATTTTACAACTTTGTAGTGGCGGACCTCCCAAACAATCCAACAGTGAAGTTCGAAAGAATTCTTCTGGAAAGCCCAGAATCCACTCCGGAAGTCTTACGAACTCCGCCCACTTCCAGGCTCCGCCCACTTCCTACATGTAACTTGGAGCGGAGGTGGACAAGAGAAGGTTCAGAAAAAGCTCATTTGTGCCATTTGCAAGCGCTGAAAAGCTTAGATATGGCTTCAGGAAGACTCCGAGAAGCTGAAAAACTAGAGAACGAAATTTTGAGGGGACACTGCCTGGAGATCGATTTGTATCTTTGCAACTTACTAAACATCAAACAGGAAAAATTGTTTGTAACAAAAAAAAA